CGATGCGCTGATTCTAAATAGGTCATTTTTATTGAATAATAACATTCCTGAGCCGAGAAAAATAGAAAATACCTAGAAAATCATGGGCATTTTGAAAACCTGCTGTACGGTCCAGGTACATTTACACAGGTTTATGCATTCATTATATATGAAGGACATGTAGAAGAACATCCTGTGAAAATCTTAACGAGTTTCGAGGAAGGATGTGGAGGGGGAGGCGCATTCTACTGAAACTATCCGTTTGGGAAAGACCTAAGCGCAGAAAAAAAATATTTTTCTCCTAACAGAAATGATTAAAAAAAATTCTTTTTATAAATCCATACAGTGACAGGTTTAGTAGGAGATTATGGACGATTTTTAACATAATATTTGTTCCTGTAGATCCCACCGAACCGCTTTTCTAAGGAGCTGAGTTTCAACACCAAATTTCAATTAACTGTTTTCTCACTAACTACGACACATACAATAAAAAACTGTTTACCATTAAATAGCCCGTTATTCAAAGTATATTTGCCACTATTTGAATCTCGAAAAGTTGTGCTTTCATTTTTCCACCTAATGTCGACGTGATTGCCCGCTGTGCAGAGGTAACCGAGAACGAGTGTCTTACTCGAGCACGAAAATACAGTGTGAAAAGAAAGAAAGAAGAATATTGCTAGGCAACGCTCAAAGTTTTCGTTGTTGTTCCAGATAGTTTTAATGAGTCTTTATTGAGTATTATTAATTTATTTATTTGACTATTTAATTCTATAGGTGAACGAATGTTGAATGAGGAAAAAAAGAAGTCGAATTTTTATCTCTACTATGATCATTTGATCTTGTATGGTGAAATGAATTGCATGCAGGTTCTATATACTTACAAAGAAATGATGGTGCTTTTTTATAAATTATTTATATTTTAGTTCTCTAGACAACGTTTCTCTAACTTGTTTTTCAACACAGTTGAGACTATGTATATCGGATGTCAAGAAAATAATTCAATGATTCGATCTTCAGAAGAAGTCACCCATCTCTCACCAATCGTCGTCTTTAATCGCAGTAAACTCGCTTGACTTATTGAGAATTGCGAGAATGAATTTGTGTTTGCTGATCCCGGAAATAGTGGTCAAAAAGTTGATGTTGCCCTTTCTTGGATTTCTCCTCTATTTTAACTGTTAAAAAGCACGAGTTGATCTTCGAAAACCCGGCTCTATTAAATCACAGTCACAAACATGCTTGTCATTTTAAGGCCAACTCGTGTTTTTTAACAGTTAAAATACAATCCTGTGCAAAATTATAGAAACGATTTGTTTTTTGATTTTTCTACTCGACCGCAGTAGAGAGAACAAATCTGAAAAGTGATTTACATAGCTGAAAGAGTTTCGAATCAAATGAACTTTATATGAAGATTCCATTAGAATACCTGCAAACCACGTCTCTAGAAAATTAAGATTTTAGAAAATCCCAAAAAATCAACTTTCGGGATTTCAACTAAAACCTTTTTGTAAACAGTTCGTTCGTGTACAGCAAACATTTCTAAACAAACTAGACGTCGCTGAACTCTCCACAACGTTTTTTCATTGAACTGCATCCTAGTCAAACCGTTATGAGTTTGTAGATGTTCTAATTTCGTCTGTTTACCCTTTCACTCAGTCGACTTACCCCTCCTCGTCAGAGGTACAACCGGTATCGATATATCGGTACCGGTACGAATTATAACGCAGACCGGTATACCAGCATTAGTATGAAGTATAATCGGTTAGCCGATATTGCTGGTATTTTGTGGTATGATACGATTTTTTTCAAAAAACATCGTATAAATTCAGTCCATCTGTGACATATTTCGTCCACTAAAATTTCATTCCAATTACTAAAGCTTTCTCGGCTTATATAAACTTCTTAATTTAAAAGATTGAACTGGATTGCGGTTTTTGTGAAAGAAAAGCGCGTGAAAAATCAGCTATACATACATAATCAAAGTGAAAAGATTAATCTATCCCTTTGATAACATAAAATAAAGTTCACAGTAAAGAAAAACAAGGAAAAAATATTTTTATTTAGGCAAAATATGATCAAGACAAGCCGGAACCGGCCGGTAAACCGAACACCGGTACGAAGTTTGTATACCTTTGACCGGCACCAGTATCGCATTTTTGATACCGGTTACACCCCTGCTCCTCGTCAAAATCGCTAGAAAAAGACCAAAACTGACAGTGAAAACGACCGAGGGGCCTTTCGTAAACTGAATACAGTTCGATGAAAAAACGTTGTGGAGAGTTCAGCGACGTCTAGTTTGTTTAGAAATGTTTGCTGTACACGAACGAACTGTTTACAAAAAGGTTTTAGTTGAAATCCCGAAAGTTGATTTTTTGGGATTTTCTAAAATCTTAATTTTCTAGAGACGTGGTTTGCAGGTATTCTAATGGAATCTTCATATAAAGTTCATTTGATTCGAAACTCTTTCAGCTATCTAAATCACTTTTCAGATTTGTTTTCTCTAGTACGGTTGAACAGAAAAATCAAAAAACAAATCAACTCTATAATTTAGCACAAAATAATAATAAGAAACCCTAAGAAATGGCAGCATCAACTTTTTAGCCACTGGTTTCCAGACAACTGTGAGAAAACTTAAGTTTTCAAGGCTAAATGTTTACCCTAACGGAATCTAGATAAAACTAATATTCTGTGAAAACTTGGTTAGGACTTGTGTATACAGAAACATCGCTTCTAGAAACATCCTAGAAATTTTTCAAATTTTTAATGTGATCTTTCGGAGAGTCAGAGCCCTTTAATTTCTAATCCTCCATTTCTCGCTAGAAAAGGAAATCAACTACGAGCGATATCTTGCTTTTTCTTTTCATCTCTTACTCAACCGATGCAAGAATGAGAAAGAAAAATTCTCGGCATAAAACACTCTTATTCTGATAAAATCTCAAATAAAACGTCAGATGAGTTTTTTCAGTTCTTGAACTTTGTTAAATGTTTGATGCATAGAAAAAAATGTGAATACATTTACTCGTAAAAGGAAAAAAAGTGAAAAGAGAAAGAAATTTAATTCAATGAGAAGTTCTTTTTTCTGCGTGTCGCTTATATTCATATATTGTTGTACATGAACATGAAACTTTTTTCATAACAAAATCAACACGCAGTAACAGCTTTCTTACATCACCAACACGTGAGGTATGTGTTCTAACATTCATCTTTCAAGATAATAAGATATCTATATAGTAGATAGCCTAATAAGGCCTTTGTCGTGGGGTAATGTCGTACAATTGACCGTCTTTCAATAAAGAAACCACTCTGTAAATAAGACTCAATTTTTGATACTGAGACTATTATCGGTTCTCGAATATTTTAAAATAAGAATTTTCTTTGCTTTTCTCTGGTAAGATATTTTTTTTTCACAGAGATATCAGAAAGCAATTACAACGCGTATTGCGCCCTACGGGTCGAAAGACTATCCTAATACATATTGTATGACAGTTGCATACATAATACACAGCGTAAAGTTATCCTAGTTTCTCGGAATTATGACAACCTGAGCACTGTCTCAACCACGGCCTAGTTCCAACCTCGTAGTGTTACCAATATCTTTCTCAACCTCACTAAGGTGAGACAACAGCGGGGGAAGGCGGTAAGGGGCTGGCTGTGAGTGTCCGTATCATAAGTGAATCACGTACGGGTATCCTGTACTTCTGAGCTTTTCTCAAAATTTTCATAATTCCTAGAAATTATAACTTCAGCCTGCGTATTATGCTTGCAAGTGTTATGTAATATGTATTAGGATAGTATTTCGTCCCGTTTATTCCATCCGAAAATTTCTCAAAATTCTTCCAAGTTCGAAAACGCCGCAAAAAAGACGATACAAATTGGAATCGTAGTATGACACCACTCTTTTTTCATGAGATCCGGATCAGAGACCATTGCAGGACCAGGCTGCTCTGTTGTCCTGCCCTATTCTGCCGGGCAGGGCGATACATTTTTTTCCCTGTCCTGTTGCAGGGCAGGACAGTAGAAAGTTCCTTGATTTGCCCTGCGAGAGACTGATTTTTGAGATTTTCAAGCTTCTTTTTAATTAAAATTTTGAGATCGAACGACGAAGATAACAGCGTTCATATTTCTTTCTTTCTGTTATGTGTTTGTTGATACACGTGTGCGCTCTTTGTCTCTAGGGATGCAATGGTAACGGTAACCGCACTTTACCGGTTACCGTTACTAGTTGCAACCCGCGACGATTGCAAGAGCTACGGTCAGAGTTGTATATGTGCATATTATTTTTGCCCCTTCTGCTTTGATACGAAATTTTTTATTAGATGTTTTTCCTAATCACTTCTTCTTAAAGAGGAAATTATTGCTTGTATACCAAGAATTTGCTTCATAAAATAATCAGCATGTAAAACAATCAACTTGAAAAACAAAAGAAGTATTTGCTACACAATCAAAACACAAAATAAATGTTTCTTTAATCACAGTTCTCTGTTAATCAATATAACGTTAAAGAAAAACACTTTTCGACATGAAACAATCAGTGTGACTCAAACTACCCTAAGAACTCAGATCACTTGCAGAACCGGTTGGACCGGTAACTGTTAAATCGGTTACAGTTAACCGGTTACCGTTGCATCCCTATTTATCTCTTGTATATGTGAAAATAAAAATGACAGCCAACTTTTCTAAAATTGATAATTAATAAAAATAAAAGATTCTGTTATGCATGTGAAATACATCCAGTATTTGTGCTGAGTTTCTAGAAGATAAAGTCTTCTAGGTTAAGGAGAAAAACTTTCTTTTACATGGCAGGGCAGGGCCAGAAATGTTTTATTAGTAATTTTCTGACAGGACAGGGCAGGACGTTAAAATTTGCCCTGGGATGGTTTTTGATCCGGATCAAGATTAAAATGGTCTTAGAGCTCTATTGAATATATAATAAGGAAATCTTTACAACTGTGTAATAATATCGAAGTTTTAGTTCTAAATGAGTTGTCTTATTTTGGCAGAAAATCGTCCAATATTTTACAGCAATGGACAACAAAAAGGAAAGGCTCGGCAAAACTGCATCATCGTCAACGGCACGTATGGCACAACCACGAGCAACAACTATTGAAGCAACATCACAATCTTCTACTGATCGTACATTAGAAACTTGTCTGAATACACTAAAAAGCTTATCTACTGAAGCCCATCCAAAACTGGCGACATGTATGCTCAAAGTTGGTAATATTTATCGTGACAGACACGATTATAATCATGCTCTGGAATATACATTAAAAGCATTGGATTGTTATGAAAAATGTCTACCTGAAAATCATCCACAAATTGCTTTATGTTTGAATGAAATTGGAGGTATTTACGATAGTTTAACCGATTATAACCGTTCATTCGAATATTATGAGAGAGCAATCAAAATTTATAATAAAATCTGTCCAAATACACGGTTTCAAAAAGGAAAATTAATGGGAAATAATGTTCCTCGTACTACTAAGTGAAATTAGTGAGATGTTTGGTTTCTTTATCGTATTATCCAAATATATTTTTACTTTTTCTGCATTATATTATATTCCTTCGAATTTATTTCGAAATGATTGTTTGACAAATAGAACCAATTGTCTGTATTTTCATATTTATTTTAAGCTGAGTAAACTGATCTGCATTTGATTTTACTGTCTATAACCAGCGTATATCGAAATGATGATGACAAAATATACCATTATGAAACACAATTTCTTTTCATACATAAATCGATCATCATCTATATCAAGTCGACCATAGATTGAAAATCGAGTACATTTTTTCTATGTTTTGTACTTTTTTCCTTCCTTTAAAGCTTATACTCTTTCCGCAAGCAAATATCTGGGTGCAACTACCAACAAATATAATTTAATGAATGTCGCATTTTAAAACTTGTTATTAGAGAGCTGTGCGTTTCTTCTGAAAATGTGAAACATAACTCATGTAACGGCGTCATCATGAAATGTCTTTTGCACGGACGCAAATTGGCAAAATCCATCAATTGTTTGAGATTTTCGACGTCCTTATTAATTACTAATTAAAACAGAATTAAGTGTCTCTTGCATGCACAGCACTTTTGGTTTTCTGGAAGAAATATTATAAGGTGCGCGTAATGCAACTTGAGCAAAAAGTTTTTTTTCACTTTATTATATATCGTTCGTTGCCTAAAAAACGGTCAAAAGTGTCACGGCGTCACGTTTTTTCTGGTTTTCTTTGATCAATACAGATTAACTAGAATAGGTTCGAACTTGACAAGCTATCACATCTTGTAGAGCAAACAATTTTCTACAAACTGGTATACTTGTTCAATTCTTGCCGGCTCGTCTTCTTTCTTTTAGACACGCTTTTTAGATAGCCGCGCAAAAACTCGAAAATCGCTCAAATTCGAAAAACTTCGAAGTTTTAGAAACGCTATAACTCGGTAAAGAAAGGTCTAGAATAAAATTCTAAAACAACTACTTCTGCGATATTACCTTGAGTACCTTTGGTAAAATTTTTGACTCGATCGGATGAAAGGACGGGAAACGGTTTCTGCTGGAAAATGGTCCAATATGATTTTGAGCGAAAATGACCAGAAATGCTTTCCTTTTCACTTTTCAACACTTCTTTCAAAAATTGCTTCTGATCCTCTTGAAAAAATATTTCTTACCAGTTTTCCTCACCATATCACTATGAGTAAAAATTGAGATATCTGTCCAAGATTTAGCTAATAAATCTATGAGAGCAAACTTTTAAAACAAAATATTGTAGTTTGTTTTGAAGCCCAGGAAGTTCTCTATCTGCGACATATAAAATATTCTGAGTCTGAGCAGATGTATGAAAGAAATATTCTTTTAAACACGTAAGATAGTTGAAAATCATGATATCTGTCGAGTATTTCGACAATTGTCCTATATGGGAGTATTTTTGAAAAGATTATGTATAGCTCATTGTGGAGTGCAGAAAATTCTCTACCTTTCTATATACAAAACATACCGGGTCTGAATAGAACCATTAACGAAGTATTCCTTTAATTGTTAGGATGGGTGAAAATCATGACATCTGTCTGGTATTTCGACAATTGTTCTATGTGGGCATATGTTTGAGAAGCTTGTCAATAGCTCGTTTTGGAGCACACAAAACTCTCTATCTTTCTATGTATGAGCTTTGGTCAAAGTCTTTGAAATCGTACGAAAAACGTGAGAAACAAAGTGAATGACCTTCATTGAACTGGTAAGAAATATTTTTTTCAAGAAGATCAGAAGCAATTTTTGAGGGTCAGAAGTGTTGGAAAGTGGAAAGGGAAGCATTTCTCGTCATTTTCACTCAAAATCATATTGGGCCATTTTCTAGCAGAAACCATTTCCCGTACTCTAAGGGAGGGGGGAGGGGTCGTAATATGATACAATGAAGCCCGGTAGCAAAAACCTGCGTTTCGAGAAAAACGCATTTTGTGTACAAGTCACTTCTTTCAGGGCATTTGCCACGATATTTATTTCACTCTGAAAACTGATCGGAAAATTGTGGAAAATGTCTCACTATGCAGAAAACACTTTCTTCTATCAGACTATGTGACCATACTTTCCTCTACAATAGACTATGCTCAGTTCAAAATCTGTAATTTTTTTTGAAAAAAGGAGGGGCGGAGTAACCTTAATGTTGTGTTTATTTATCGACATTTCCGACACTGTTCTTCAAGAGTCAGTAGTTTTAATAACATTCATTTATGTCTATGCTACTGTCATTTTCAGTATGTTATTTATTAATACGTTATTTTTTCTTGACTAAACAAATAAAAACGACAACGAACTAGAGTTTTTCTTCTGATAACATAATAAAATGGAAATAGAATGAAGGCAATATTACTGACAGGATTACTCTTTTCTCGAGAAAAGATATGTAGATAATAAAATGTTGAATCATTGACATCATATGAAGTCGTCGTTTGCAAGACATTGGGACTGTCCTTTGACAAACACCACCATGACGAATATTTTAGTTTAGCTCCTTCCACCGTTGAAAGATCTAAGAACACATAAACTGTGCATGTCCGAGAAGAGCATTCTCAAAGCTAACATGGTACATCGATGTATTTAAAAAATTTGTTCCACTCAAATTACTCGTTTCAAAACTAACATTGTTTAAATTAACTTTTTCCAACGATGAATTTCATAGTCGGACGTTAAACAAACGAATGCCGTTTAACCTGGTTCTGTTATTGTATGCAATTTCACGACCGGCACCAAATCGAACATTGAACTAGAGACCTTCATGTCTAAGATTTTTTTACCCATGCTCGGAGATTTTTCTTTGATGTGCGACAGACGTTTTCCATTTCTTTCTTATCTCTGGCGTTCTACTAATTGTCCCCCTTATGTTCTCTCGCAAGAAATAAAAAACGTAGTGCTTTCTATTTTCTACTGAATCAAAGAAAAGTGTCTACTGTCGTTTTTGTTGAAAGGTTTTGTGTGATTTTATGATATTCTAGAATTATGTCAGAATCTTTGTTATTTATGGGCTATAAATACTTATCTTTATTCGTGGTGACAAACTGGTATATTTTAAAAATGATGCGAACACACATGTACTAGAGATTTCGTTTATTGAAGACAATGTTTTTCAAAAATAAAAATAAAAAAAATTTGTTAAGGGAGATTATATATTATATATCACACGTAAAGAACAAAAATAATACATTTTTTGCAGCAGCTGATTTCAAAGTTGTGCCAATTATTTTTCTAAGCAAATTTTATGCTTTCTTCAACAATATGCTGCATAATAAAAATATTTATGCATCTAAAAATGATAGAATCATTTATTTAATATCCCCAAATGGAAATCATGGTACTTAATGGGTTAAAAAGAAGTTACGAATCAGAACATATGTTCATTTATGAAAAATCGAAAAAAAAGATAACGAAAATCCGTGAAATACCTGAGAAAGGTTGAATTTTTTCAAACATATCATGCTGCTTAATCCGACTTTTATTTTTGATAAAAAAACTGTTTTTTTATTAGAACATGTTTAGACATACTTTAAGAAACATTTCAGAATTTTTCGTTTCTCAAAACACGTAACTATTCTAAATTCAGAACATAGATGCGTTTCACATAGCTCAAAAACTAACAATATTAAAATTTTGCATATCAATAAACTGATATTAAAGGTTGTAAAGAATACCGTCAGTTTTTAAAATTTACTGTGATAACCTCTCTGTTATAGAGTAAGAAGAGATTTGTAAGGCACAACTGATTACATGCTTCTTAGGACTTGGTGCTGTATAGTTCTTGTGAAAACCGGAAGGTTTGTTCACTGGTGTCTATGATATCCACGTAATAAAAGATATTTTTTTCAATGCCCTTCTACGTTTTTGACAAACGCATTTTACCGTTGAATATGCGAGATGATCGTACATTTGGGCGTGTCATTGGTCTATTGTGTAATTCTAACGAGAACCGTTCGAAAAAATAAACAATAATTTGATTTTTTTAAAAGATTGTGATCAGTAAAAACGCTATGTTTCCATTAGCAACGGTTCACGGTTTTCTTAGAATTACACAGTAGACCAATGACATGTGCAGATGCACGATCATCTCACCTACCGCTTGGCCAGCTAACTCTACCAGTGGAGTGAGATTTCGTCGCGGATTTTTGACATTTTGATTCTCTTTCGCTATTCAAAAATTGTAAGAGAATCAAAATGTCAAAAATCCGCGACAAAATTTTCACTCCACTAGCAGAGTCAGTTGGTCAAGTCGACTATTCAACTGTAAAATGCGGTTGTTAGAAAAGTATTGAAAAATAGATTTTTTTATTACGTGAATATCATACTAAGTTTTGATCAGGTCAGCTAGTCCCTAATATTCTTTTTATGTGATCATCTAATCAAAGCGACACTAGCCTGTTTTTCTCCTTCTTGATAATAATACCATTTATTATACCATATTATCGAAAAGAATAGCATATGTATCAACATTATATTACACTGCATCTCTCTGTCTCATTTTTTTCTCTATATATTATTCTTTCTTTTTAGTTTTTTAACTTTTCTTTTCTTTTCTTTCTTTCTTTTTCTCTCCTTCTTTTACAGTACTCATGCTTATAATGAAGTTAACTCGGTGGTGTTGATTTCTTTTACTTATTTTGTATAAAAGTTTGCAGCAACAAAATAATATGGACACATCGTTGGCAGAAGTATTTCACAAGCTAGTTTTACCGTTTCAGGTGAAAGATAACGAATTATATAACGAGAAACTGTGTTTGATGATTAGATCAAATGGTAATAGTTGTCTCATGAAGATTTTTTATCGATTGAAACGGCGTTCAAAAGCGTGTAAACGACGAAATAATAGAAACGCGCTTAGTCGATGCTTGAAAGGCGATTTTTAGGTGTTTAATCGATATACGAAACGCATTTCAAGCATCGATTGAGCGCGTTTCTGTTGTTTTGTCGTTTATACGCGTTTGAACCACCATTTCAAGTGATAAAAAAACGTCATAGGATTGATCATTCAGAACATCGAATTGTTCGTTTAGAAAGATTGATTAGAGCGCAAAGAAGTCTGAGGATATGTCTGAAATTTTAATCATTCATCCGTTGGCTTGTGATCACTATTTCCTCACTGCAGCTTTTAAGGTCCCCTCCCCGCTGGGTCAGAAATCTATCTATAACCACAAGCCTGATCTGAGAAAAAATTTCGGGGAACGTTGAGCATGTTGAAGAATAGTTTTAAATTTGGTGGCTCGATGTATCATCGTTTAGGAGATGTCGCTCGAATATGGATCTCAATGAGGCGTCTACCGTCCAGCAGATTTCTCCTCTCAGGAAACAGCTCGGGCTGATTTAAAAATATAATATGAAGTTAGAGTATTGATGTAACAGAGCCAGATTTTGAATTTTACCTTGGTTTTATTTTCTGAAGGATTTCACCTAAAAGTTTTGAAAAAGGTCAAAAACTGGGGTATAACTTTCAACACTGTAAAATAATGACGGCCTAAATCGAAATCGGGCTTTGTTAAGTTGTTCCCATATGTTTTGGCTTCAATTTAAGATCAGTCCGAGCTTTCTAGAGCTAAAATTTGATAGAGAAATCTGCTCGACAGACTTTATCACGTAGGAAAAAGTCACTTTTGAGAGATAGTGGCGCTAGTGTATGACACACTTTTTAGAGCTCTTAATAAAGCTGTCATAACTTTTGATTAAAGTATCTCTCAATGCTGGAAGACGTCTCATTTTAATCACAAATGTTTACTCTATGAACTGGAGCCGCAGGAATCCTTTCTGATTCCGACATTTCATTAAAAAATACCAGAATTTTCGAAAAATCAGGCTTATGGGAGGGGGCAGCCTTAAAAAGATTTTCTAAAAGTCTAGTCTACTAAAATTATTTTAAATATTTGAAAAATCATTTGATTCATTCACGTTCATTGCAAATGATCATCGATCATTTGCAATGAACGAACATTGGTAGACCAATTTTGTCTATGAGGATGACACTGAACAAAGATAAGTTATACTATTATTCATTTCGAAAAAACTGCGCCTAATGGATATTTTTTGAATAACGTTTGACAGAAACGATAGACTTGTAGTTTCTCACAAACAGCTATATTTTTGCTGTTTTAAATCATAGTGTGACCGGTTAAATCTAGTAGGATTAGCAAAAACGATATAAGGCTGACTGGCGAAGGAACCTATGAACATGTCCACCTACGATTACAATGATTTAGATGTCGGTCGATACAGTACAGCGAACTAGTGAAAAATCTAAAAGGATTTATCCGCATGCCTCTTGAAGGTCCGTTTATCTGGAAAATCAGTTTTTCAGAAACTCTAAAACTAATCAAAACCTTTCTTAGTGAGACATGATTGTAACCCGCAAATTTCTGATTAAAATGAGACGTCTCCCATTTGTTCATGACCTTTCTTTGCAAAGTTATAGAATTTACAAGAAAAGCTCTAAATTTATTTCTTCTTATTTCTGCAGCTTTGAGCTGACACTAGAGTCCTGTTACCGTGACTTTTTCGTTACCATTTACCATACCATTACCATCGATGTGATTTTTTTCTTTACCATGACCGTTACCACGGCGAAGAATGTTTTACCATTACCATGGTAATGGTAATGGAATTTCCACGGTAACAGAACATATTCGAACAGAAAGGAAAGAAAAAAATATAAACACGTGCAGATGGCACATAACAAAGAATATCTAGGCTCATGGCTTAGCCTGAAGGTTACACAGCGCTAGTCTATATTATATACACTAAAGTATTATAAAATAGTGTACGATAAAAGAATTCGCTTTCTTCTGTGTAAATGAAAATTCAATAGAATGTCTGCTTCTGAAACAGCAACTATAAAGAAAAATTATACAAAACAAGAAATAAAAATATTGGTTTTTATGGTACTTTTTTTTCTTCTTTTTTACAATAAAGAGATGGTATGATTATGAACGGTGTCCGTTACCACTACCATTACCATTACCATGAATTTAAATTTTTGTTACCATTCACCATCTATTACCACAAATCCAAATTTTTTTTTTACCATTACCATTACCATTACCATGGTAATGGTAAAGTAATGGGATTTTTTTGTTACCGCAGGACTCTAGCTGACACTGAACATTTACGACTTCTCTTGTAAATTGTATAACTTTGCAAAGAAAGGTCATGTATAGGTGGGAGATGTCTCATTTTGATCAGAATTTCGTAGGCTACATTCTTGTCTCATTAAGAAAAGTTTTGGCTGTTTTTTAGAGTTTCTGAAAAACTGGTTTTCCAGAAAAACGGATCTTTCAGAATCATGCGGATAAATCCTTTTTATGGTTTTTACCAGCTCGCTATGCTCTATCGATTGACATATAAATCATTGGAATCGGAGGTGAGCTTGTCCATAGATTCCCTCGTGAGTAAAACTGGTTAAGTACAGCCATCATCAAACTTATTTAAATGATTATAGAAATGTGAATATTGACATGAACAAATTGAAGATTTTAGCTTGCTGTCTTGATATTCACTGAAGAATGTAAACGTGCCTGTTAGTAATGTATGACATATTGAAACTCATCTTAGTCCTGTCTCCTAATAGACACTAAACATGCGTGTATCCCCGTTCCTACTCTACAATTATGTGTATTCCATCATTAGTCTGTTCATTTGTCAAAGTACCATTTACCGTTTTCTAATGCTGTCATTATTCTTTTTTTGTTTTTCTTTCTTTCCTTTCCTTTTATGTATATGTGTACGTAAGTGCATGAAATGTGTATGAACTTAACTTGTAATGTACCGAAGAGTTATTTAATAAACACGGTTAAATTACGTTTCGTTTTTTTTTGATTGATAATTGATATCTTGTTATATTTACATGGTTCTTGAAAATATATTCGCTTATCTATCTCAACACGACATCGTGACTTTAACACACAAAGGTGTGATATAGCCAGCATAACTGTTATAAATTTCCTCAAGCAGGTAATGAAAGTACTACTAATACATGAACTAAAAACAATCTAACGTGAATTTATTCAACTATAGACAAAAAGAGTTCATTCAACTGCAGTACCATTTATAACGATCACAGTTCATTTAATCCCAATTAAGACTAACTTAGTAAACGAGAAACACCACAAACTTACTTTATTACTAAGAATCTTATTCTGCATCATCTATTTGGACATAACTGTTTGTTTATTGAGTTTAATTATTATTTTTATATAGGAAATGACAGCACAAATGTGTAGTAACACAGTTAGCAAACGTAAATATAGTTCCACTAATATCGCAAATGATCAGAATTTACACGATTCTATTCAGTGCAATCCAAAGCAATGTTTTTTATTTGATCCAATGACACATCCAACACATATGCAACTATTATCAGCAAAATCAACAGTCCTATATGTAGTATTAGGTAGTATCATACAAATGACATTGATTGGGATTGGGATTGATTGTATGCAGTATGGTGTTTCTGCATTAAATATCGAAAACGCACTATTTATCATACAAGTGATTGTCTATTATGTTATCAATATCATAGCATCACATCTTAGTATGACATGTCCGAGACTAGCATTTATATTATTTCACATTTCGCTGGTTATACCATTGACATTACCTACACGTCGTTCTGTCTACCGCTATATACTTGTCAGTGGTTATACGTTATCGTCTCTACGGTGGGTTGAACTTCTAAAGCGGCACCATCAGTGGAACGGTTGGTATCGATGTCTGTTAACAATGTCATTTTGTGATATACGGTATTGTGAAGTATTGGTATTACCAATGACACATCAACGACGTGAAACAATGCTTACTAAATGGAAACAACTTGTGTGCAATGCCCTGTTATGGATTAGTATACATAGTGTTTTAATCGGGGTGTTGATAGTAATTTTACTATATCTATCAGCGTTGCTGAAATATGAGAAACTAAATGTGATAACATTTCTAGTGTTAATGGCATTCAGATACAGTCTTGATTTTGTTACAGTAGTTGAATCGTTCAGCGCGATACATTATGCATATATACTGATGTTTAGTGTATTAGGTGTAAAGGCACAATGTATACAGAATGCACCGCTACATGCAGCATCAGTGAGTGAACTATGGTCAACAAGATGGAACAGATATATACAGCCATTGTTGCACAATCATATCTATACTCCTGTATACAACAGAACAAATAACAGACAATTAGCAGTATTGACTACATTTATGTTCAGTGGTGTGTGGTTGCATGGTCTGCCAGCATATATTGCCGGTTTAACACTGAAACGAGCATTGAGTATTGAATTATTCTTTGTTGCACAAGCTCTACTGATAGCAATCGAAGAACGGTTGTTTATACGACCTATTGCAAACACATTTCACACACGTACGCGTACAAAAATTTTAATGCTTATCACATTGCCATTACTTTTTGAGCCTCTACATACATTATTTCAAATATAAAGTACGTATACACACAGATTTAAGACAAAAACTAAAACCAATGCTACCAGCAACACGATGTTTACTACGGTCAGTCTTTGTATTTAATACCCGGATGTGAAGATTGATCGGGATCAACCAAACATCGTATCAGACTAGACATGTTTTAGTCGGTTCTATGGGATTGGTAGCATTGTCAACGAAGCATTTAGAAATACGCATAAGACGACCGCATCACCCGTTGCATATACCGGCTAGTTCGCCTACAGCCACAAGGTGGGGTATTCATCCTTACTTCTTCTATGGCTTAGTTTTTGTAAGAAGTAAAAGATTGAAGACGGGATATAAAACATTTCGTAATACGCTAAAATCTATTCGTTTGACAACTTCGAAAACGTACATTTTGAATAAGCTTTATTAGTGTGCGCTATTTACCATAGTGAGAGGTATAGTTCGGATGTTGATAAAATAATAAAGCTAGCTTGTAGATTCATTCGTCGACGCAAGTGGTTGTTGATATGAATGCAGTGACCCTACTTTTCAACGCTGATGTATTTTAAGAGTGTAACGTTTTATTCTCCACACTAAACTCATGCTCTGCATCAGAAACTGGCGGTAGAGTGAGAATCTCAAGGACCTTGATTAACGATGGCTCCACCTCTCTCAAAATTAACTACATACGTTAATGCAGGTACTAAAACGTTAATGCAGGTGATAAAATTATTATTTCAAATAGCAATGTTAAATTGAACGAGAATAATGCAAATAATTTTTATGAAGTATTCATAAATCCTTGGATACCTCCACATGATTATGAGTTTAAAAAGATTGAAATCAACAATAAAATACGTTGAACACTATCTGGAAGAGGAACTGCTGAGACAGTTATACAACTTATTCGAGAGCATGGCCACGATTGCACAAATTAACAGATAAAATGAGAATTACATGATAAACAACGCAAAATAGATAGAAATGTATCTAGTTTGTAGGTGAATAATTCGACGGTGCCGGCGCTATGTCCGGAAAATTTAACGGTGTTCAGAAACATATTTGAGATCTGTGTGATCACACACTCAATTTAACGATTGGAGATGCATGTATTCTTACAAAAATTTGTTCTTTTTTTGGCATGCTAAAATTCATTTTATTAATTCATCACCACAACGAACAACATTTTTCAAAAATGCCATCGAAAATACCGTTTGCATAACAAAATAAATGAAAACTAACTAGGCTATTTTTTAGTAAAACATGCGAACATGCACCATGCCGTGGTTCCATCCATCGGTTTACACTCAGCTCTTTATGAGCCATAGAACTGTCATGACTAGGTATGCACCAGTTACAGTTTTTTACCAGTTAACTGTAACTGTCATAACTGTAGGTAAATATTCTAGAGTGAGTTAGTCTTGTCACCCTTAAAATGTATGCAAACCCTACAAGACTAGTCATTCTAGAATATTTATCTACAGTTATGACAGTTACAGTTTTACAATTAATGTAACTGATGCATGCCTATTCATGACGCTATTGTAAATGAAGATTCGCTTAGGCATAAAAGATAATACATACATGTCAGTTCATTTGACTTACACATTATAATCTAGACCTAACCGGAGGCCATGCATCTTTTAATAAAATTTTCAATTAAACCTACAGTGGATTTTCACAAACCTCGTTTTTGTTTTTATCAAACAAAATAACAAAATATCGTTACTTATATATGTTTAGCACTTGTAACAAATAATAACTTAATAAATACTTAATAAAAATAATAATTAGACAATTCAATAAACAGTTATGTTCAAATAGATGATGCAGAATAAGATTCTTAGTAATAAAGTAAGTTTGTGGTGTTTCTCGTTTACTAAGTTAGTCTTAATTGGGATTAAATGAACTGTGATCGTTATAAATGGTACTGCAGCTGAATGAACTCTTTTTGTCTATAGTTGAATAAATTCACGTTAGATTGTTTTTAGTTCATGTATTAGTAGTACTTTCATTACCTGCTTGAGGAAATTTATAAGAAAACTTCTTCAGCCTAAAGAAATTTATAACAGTTATACTGGGTATATCACATCAAATAGTTTGGTAAAGCAGTAATACTGAAGAAACGTAGTAAGAAATACAAAACTGCTACAAACATGATTAAAACAAATCACAGTGCTATTATTTTGATTTATTATTGATATTTCGACGATGTTCACTCGTCATCATCAGAATAAACGAATGACGCCAGATTTGATTCAATAAGAGTACAAAAAAGAAAAAGAACAGAAAATTAGGGAATTAACTAGACATATTTTATCCATATGATCGATCATATCATATGGTATTTCTTACTATGTTTCTTCAGTATTACTGCTTTACCAAGATATTTTATTACTAATATTCGTCAGAAATACGGCGAGTTTATATTCTTATCTATCCGACGTCCTGAGAAATTATCAATAAAGTATCAAAAGCGCAAATGCGACTGTGAATCCTTGCGATTAACACTTATCTACCATTTAACACCTAAGTTCATTCGTTTCAAAATGTGGAAAAATCAAATTAAATCTCAAGGAAAATATCATTCTTATCCAAGAGAATGTATTCAATTAGAATACAAAAATCGTTATAAAGGTTCGATGAGATTGAAAAGAAATATAGAAGAGACACTTAATAGTTTACAGCTAAAGTTATCATTAAATGATCATAATGATCTAAAACAGTTCATTTTTGAAAAAGCCAAATATGAAAACGATAGAATAACAAAAATCCACGAGAAGAAATTAAATATATTAAACAATGGAAATATCGGACAAGGCTATAACGCATTAAAGACTAAAGTATTACATAATATTTCTAACTATACACTAACGCCAGCTGAAGAACAGCTTCTGTACCGTGGTATGAATTTCTGTATAGAACATAAAATAAAGGATTATTTTGAATTCAAAACAGATATAGAATATAATGTATCGAAAATTGAACAACACTGTTGTTCCTCAATCTTCAAAACACTGTGCTGGAACATGCATGATTATTCTCAAAGGTTAATAAGAACCAACAAAAAGAAAATGATTTGTAATATCAAGCAATACGTTCGCTAAAAGAAAACAAAAATATTACAATCTGCAAATCTGATAAAAGTAATGCTATAGCGTTCATGGATAAAAAAGAGTACATCGAAAAATCCCATACAATATTAAAAAGCAAACAATTTAAACCTACAAAAATTAACTTAGATAAACCATATCGAAATTTGATGGTTTTTTTCCAGAGCTGCGTCAATCGAGATTTTTGCATATTCGGAATCAGCGCGACGAGTTACGGTGTACGGCGCAAATATCTCGTCGGGACCCCCTCCATTTTTTGGATTCGGTGGCTCCGTTGGAGGTTTCACGGTATATTAGGTTGTATTCACCTGTAGACATCAAACACACTGCGTTCACTTTTCTTTCCTTTGATCTTATTTTTCTTTCGTCCCATATATTTTTCTTATGTGCTCGTACATATGTGCACAGCGCTTTATTTCTTTTTATAGAAAAGAAGACATTTTCTATTTTAATCTATATATTCATTTATTCAATGTCCCAAAGAAGCTGTGCACATCCGATATTCTGCCAACTTCTCAGATTAAAATTAAATTAACTAGAGAGGGTCCATCTCCAATTGTTATATTAGTCTGAAGTACACAAGTTGTACTGTATACTGATATATTTTCTAAAACAGACCCTTCTTAGTTTTTGAGATACTATTGATTAACGTTTGACAAATCATACTTTCCTCCCTTAGTTAAATAAACTCTTTCTGGCCACCGTCACTGTCCAGTTTTCTCTTCGGATCATGATAGTCAGAAATAATGTGTGTAGAAATGGCTAAAAGACTATAATAAAGTAAAAATCATCCTTCCAAAAGATAGGTTCATTGTGTTCAAACTTTCTTATAAGAGAGGAATTAGTGAAACATAATCTCATAAAACGATTATTACATAAATGTTGTGTAACCTAATAGAATTTTTGAAACAGGGCTATTAATAATCAATAAATATGAGCATTAAATGAAACGCATACGGTTTACTACCTTTAATCTGTGTTACTAACAGCTCTATATCATGAAAACTACCAGAGATCTTTTTCTAAAAAACAGATTAGTATATTGTACAACCTGTGTACTTCAGATTAGTGCAAAAAGTGAAAAAGGATCCTCTGTAATTATTTTGATTTTAATTAACGAAGTTAAAAGAATACGGAATAAATGGGATCTTGGGAGTCCCACTCAGAATACCGCTGTAT